AATCGTAGAAGTCGTGTGCCTCTGTGCAGGGGGGGGAGGGTGAAAGTTACTTCGCGTGGAAAGTTCTACGTTTCTGAACAGGAAAAGGTGTAGATTAGTACTTCATATCATACATGTATAGCAGAAATAATACGTTTATTTTAAAAGTATGATTGTTAATAACTTTTTAACGAAGGACGAGCAACGGCTAAAACCTGTTGGAGGTTACTCAGGGTCATGACCTTGACAACATATGTCAAGGTCAAAGTCATTGGAGGGGGGTCCCCTAATCGAAACATTTACCCATAATATTTTTTAAAATAGGATGATTAGAAGATAAAATTAGAATTAAAAATTATCGACTGGGAGTGCGTTCCGATTTTCACTGCCAATGCTGAAACTATATAGTATACATTACGTGCGCTATAGATTTTCAGCACTGGTAGTGAATTTCGGAACGCACCTAGGATTCATTATGACCGGTATTCATAGTCGATTCTTATTTTAAGAAACTATCTCAATAAGTAACATCCTATAAGATACTAATACGGCTCTGTGTATGTGACATCTTAAAACAGTTCTTAGATAATTTAAAATTTTAAATGTAAGAATCCCTCCCATCTACGAGTACATACTAGTCTTTGTTACATTTCTTTAAAAAGATGTAATAAAGCTAAAATTATCTTACAAGTTGTATTAGATGTAGAAGTTTGTGACGGTCGTCGTGAAGCTCGTGACAATGATGTATTTTTACATGAACTATCTGATGTTGAAGTTGAAGCAATCGAAAAATCATCCTCTTCTTGTACACTTTCAGCAGCTTTATCGCAATCGGATAAATTACTGACAGTTCTAGAAAATTATTACATATCGAATATTATTAAATATTTATAGTTAGCATATAAAAAATATTTTTTTTTACACATTGTATAAATAATTTAAATAATTATAGAATATATTTAAAATGTTATGTATATAATGAACTAAATTTTAGTTTCTTTTACAACGTATCACTTAATAATTTATTAAGAATATATAAAAATATATATACCGTGCATTTTCCAATGGATCGTCGACAAATTGCATAAGTTCATAAAAGCGGAATACTTTCTGTTTTTTAGTCGGTTGTGCAGCAGATCCACTTGGCACATATGCTTTTATTTGCCGTTTGTAACGCACATAACAATCTCTTAGATATTTCCATCTTTTCATTGCCTCATCCATAGTCATAAGCCCTATAATCATAAACAAAATTAACTTGTATTCTTAAAATAGATTGCAGCTTTGCTATATTGTATTATATATTTTGTAAATATTATATTTATACAAACCTCCTAACATATTTTGAACTTCTTTCCATAGTGCTTTCTTTTTTGCCTTTGTCCGTTCACTAAGTGGAATTTGAAAATTCCACAATGCTGGCTTTGTTTGTATTATGTTAATTAGCATCTCATCGCGGTCATCTGTTGAATACTGATGTTCATTGCTAGTCTGCTCTACTATTCCAATACTCTTTTCAACTAGTTAAAATACAATTAGTTTGTAGATTAATCGCACATTAAATTTAACATTTTTTACTAGTATATGATATAATAGATATTTTCTAACAAGATAACACGAATAAACACAATAATATAAACAATATACAATATATAATATCTTATAAGATATATATACTATAATATAACCATATAGGGTGCGGTTCACTTGGTGCTACAAATGCTTCAAAGCTATTGACTGACCAGTCAGAAGAAAGAACTATACTAATTGTCCAATCAAAAAATGCTTCGAAGCATTCGTAGCATCAAATGGACCGCAGCCATAAGGCTGGATACCCATGCAGCGGAATAGCGTAACGCGGAACGAGAGTGAAACCAATCACAAGCATTCCGCATTAGTTGCAGTTAGTGCGGAACGCTTGTAATTGCTTTCACTCTCGTTCCGCGTTACACTATTCCGCTACATGGGTATCCAGCCTAAGGGTGCAAACCCATGCAGTGGAATAGCGTATAACGCGGAACGAGAGCAGAACTACGAGTTTCTCTAGGAACACGGAATGCTCGTTATTGATTCTGCTCTTGTTCCGCATTACGCTATTCCGCTGCATGGGTTTGCACCCTAATGCCCTGGAAGTCAATTGTATATTGATCTTGAAATGAAGTGAAAATTACAAAACCGAGCAAATTCGCTAAGTATTAATTAATGAAATTATAAATATTCTAGCGAATTTGCTCACTTTTATAATTGTTACCTTATTTTAAGATAAACAATTGATTTCCTGATCATTTACTCTAAAATATAACAGATGAACTGTTGTCATATGTTATGCTGCAGTTTAGAATTGCACGACCAAACTCAGCAAAACTCACTTTTTGAGCTGTGATGGAGTTGTCAAGCACTCTATAAAAAAATTTATTACAAAGTGAGGACTATGCGCATTGCTGGAAAGCTATAAGTAAATTACTATAATATTTACCAACAGTTACAACAAAGTCTTCGTTGATAGATATAGCATGCTTTTCTTCATTGTAATATTTTAAACACTTATGAGATAATATTTCGTCTTGTGTAGTGATGGTTAATATTTCACCGCAATAACCACATTTTAGATTCTGAAATAAACATTATTTTTTATAAATTATTGCACCTCCTAAAGTACATTTATCACATATGAAAGTGATACT